TTATGGCTCTCATGTCAATGCTACTCCCGACAAGTCCCCCACCCGAAGAGCAACTGCCGAGCAGATTGAATGCTGATTGTTTCATTCATACAATGCAAAACCTGCTTAAAATCAGTGGCACTCCTATAGTTGGAGGCGCCTTCCAACAACTTCCCCGGGCCAATCGTCAATGACATCATCCGAGCCCACCAAACTGAGACTCGCCCACAAGCGCTTGCACTTGCACACACAGCGTCCAAACTCAACAAGCAAGCACGGGGCATGCATGCAAGATCGCTTGATCACAAACAAATCCAGAGAACACAGCAAACAAAGTCTGATTCTGAATCTTTACCAACAACATCAACGGGACAACGGACTGGATTTTCTCAGAAAAGTCCAGAGTTCTTGCACAGCACAAAACAAAAACGATGCTGCAAAGGTAACGGCTCCCCAAACAAAACACGCAAAGATAAAGAAAAAAGAATGTTCGGTGGTATTCCCTGCTATTTTCTTGCACGCGGGTTTTCGTCTGCTCTCAGGCTCTTCTTTTTCTTATTGTGAAAGAAGCGGCATATGATAGGGCAGTTCCTTGTGCGTTTTCTTTCTTTTCTGCTTTTTTCTTTTTCCGTTTTTGCGGGCGAAGCCGCGACGGGTCATCTAGTGTGAGGGTGAAACTTCCTCTAGTCGACAGATGCAGATGGATCATGAAGGTAGATCAGGAGCACGAGAACGTCAAGCTCAATGAAAATGACTTTTCTCTCTACAGTTACTTATCCAGGCAAGCATGTTTTGTACAAAGACAGTGGGGGAGAAAAGATGAGAGAAGAGGGTCAACCTGGACCTTGTGGCCCTAGCTGCCTAAGCAAGGGGGGGCCTGCTTCTGAGCACCCCACCCCCAAACCTTTGTCCCTCTGCGGTGGATCGCTCTACTTGTCGGGAGGCTTACTAGCAGCACCCAGGCACTCGGTAGGATAATCCCCCGGGGGGCGCACAGTGCAGGGGGCCGTTCAGGGCAGTCCCTGAGGCTGCTTCCAGTCATCAGCTGTTTCCTTGCTGGTCTGGGTCTTGCCTAGCTCCTGCTTACATGGAGGTGAAGTACTTTTCGTTCTTTGTTTTCTTTTTCTTTTTTTGTTTTTTAATAATGCAATAACCCGCTCAAATATGCCTATGTCGTCGGCCAAGGGGGCCACCTGCAGGCCTCGAATCGGCCCTAAGGCCCTGCGCCCGACCGTGGGAAACAGAACCCCTGAAACGTGGCTTCCAAGGCCCTGCGCCTGACAGTTGACAGAAGTCAACTGTATGTCAGAATATCGAGGCTCACGAGTCAAAGTCTTCACTGACCCAGTCCAGGTATCCAGGCAGCATTTGGTCCAAGTGGAAGTCTGCAACTGTACGAGATCCAGGCCGTCGGCTGTGAGTCAATCTGAGCCTCCGTACGTGAGAGACCAGAGGCTGGTTAACTTCGTCAGCACTATTTATTGACCCAGCCCCTGGGAGTCAACATTCAGTCTTGCCTTGCTGCTTGATGCTGGCACCAGACTGGCTTGATGCTGGCTGGACGCTGGCAAGACGCTGGCTCTACGCTGCCTTGTGCGACGATGACCCGAGACTGCTGTGTTGCGTGCTGGCGCCTCTCTGCTCCTGACGCCAGCTGTCTTCTTGGATGCAATCGAATTTTTATCATTATCAAGTATTTTAGTAGGAGTAAAATTTAATTAATAAAAGAAATAGATTTTTTTAACAGAAAAAGACAAAAAAAACTTAATCTAAAGATTCTAAACCTATTTTTTATGTTTCTATTGTATTCTTTGTCTATTTTCATAGTTTTGTTGTAGACTACTTATAATTACAATGAAGAATGAATAATCAAATTAGTATCTAGCTTGGTTTACGTGGGTTTGTTGCGCTTGCCGAGGGCTATGGCGGGAGAGAGGAGGGAGGACTTTGGCGGGAAGAAGGAGGGAGGACTATGGCGGGAGGAAGGAGGGAGGACTATGGCGGGNAGGAGGGAGGACTATGGCGGGAGGAAGGAGGGAGGACTATGGCGGGAGGAAGGAGGGAGGAGGGGGGACTATGGCAGGAGGTACGAGGAGGTAGACTCTACCGAAGGCAGGAGGAGGCAGGAGCAGAACTCTACCAGAGGTAGGAGGAGGTAGGGGCAGAACTCAACGAAGAAGAAGGAAAAAAGAAGAAGAAAAAGAGGACTATGGCGTCCCAGAAGGACTGTAGAGAGTAAGAAGAGGAGGAAGAAAAAGATGACGAAGAAGAAGGGAAGAAGAAGAAAAAGAGACGGAGAGAGTAAGAAGAGGAGGAAGAAGAAGACGAAGAAGAAGGGAAGGAGGGAGGGGAGCCTATGGAGCGAGCCTATGGAGGGAGGAGGAGGGGGAAGGGAGACTGATGGAGGGAGGGAGTCTAACGAGGGAGGAGGACAGGGAAGGAAGACTGATGGAGGAGCAAGGGGTAGGGAGTCTATGGAGGGAGGAGGGAGGAGGGAGGCTATGGCAGACGGAGAAGAAGCATAATCAAGCATTCCCCCCCGCCCCCAGAAAAAAAGATGACGATTTGTTGATGAAGCGCTATGGCGGAGGAATGAACAGGGAGGAAGAAGTGGAGAGCAGAAGAAGAAGAAGAAGAAGAAAACTTACCAAGAAGAAGAAGAAGAAGAAAACTTACCTGCGTTGGTGATGGCGGCGCAGGCAGTCTTCGTCAGGGGCAAGGAGGATGGCGCGGCTGGACGGCTACGACAGTGGTGCGCCGGAGAGCAGCACGGTGATGGCGACGATGGCTCGGCAGGGCGAAGATAACGATGGCACGGACGACCACGCAAAAATGGCGGGAAAACAACGAGCTGGTGCGGGGGGGTAGGGCGGAGGGTGCAGGGCCGCACGGCAAGTCCCCAGGATTCAAATTCAAAATCTTGGGACTTCCGCGCCATCGATCAACACAGATCGACGGCCCAGGTCCCGAAAAAGAAAAAACTATGAAACGGGGCCTACCGGATTGCAAAAAATATTGGGGCGGCCACCAAAAAAAAAAATTCCCTCTGGGCTTCCAGCCCGCAGCGCAAATTTTATTTTTTGAAGCCATTTGGGGGGCGGCGCTGTGGGGGCCCGGGGGCTGGCCGGGGGGGTCGCGCGGCCGGGCGACCTGGGGTGGCCCGGGCGCCTGGGCTGGAAAGCGAGATTAGTATGCAATCAATCTTCTTTACAGTAAATATAAAAAATAAAGCAACATTCCATGTAATTATAAATTAACGTGGCACTTGCCACGCTGTCTTGGCATTGCTGATGTGGTGCATGCCACACTGTCTCCGACACTGATTGGGAATGCAACAAGGGAGGGAGATCGGGATATGTGGGATTGGTTGGTTGAGGGAGGGGAAGCTTACCTGTTGATGCTGTTGACACCGCGCGCTGCAGAGACGTCTTCATAGGAGAACTGTGCCTACGTGGCACTATGTTGTGATCAGATCTCGTCAGACTCGTTTCTGGGACACTGTTTGCTGACGTGGATGTGAGGTGACGCCCGAAGGAGGAGTGGGGATCGAGGGTGTTCTGTCTACAAGGACATTGATGGATACATTCTCTTCCACCCTCTCCCTCCTATCTCCTTCGTCCCTTGGTTACGAGACATTGTATTACAGATCGCATTTCACGATTATTGGAGACATTTATCAGCGCTGAGTCATCTTGTATTTCGACACTTGACGAGTTCCCTCCTGACTTGGCTCATTACAATAAGTCCAGATCGTAGTAGAGGCTGGATGCTAGGCCTCGGGAGGTGCCTGTCATTGTACTCTACCAGTGGGGAGATCAGATGGCTTGTGACAGCCCCAAGGACAGTCTCCTCCGGGGGGCATCATTCGTTAACTCTTTTTGTTACTCTTATCAGATCACAAGTTGAGCTCTATAGCGGTGCGACCCAGACGTGTCTCTAGACCTAGACCTACACCACCCCGCATCTCAGATGTGTCCCCCCTGGACGCTACCATAGGGACACCCAGAATTCTCGAGGTCAACCCAGACACAGGAGGGGTCATGAATATCTGGTCATTCCCTACCTGCATCACATCTAGCAGACTGAATGGGTGTCTAACCCCCTTCTACTATAAGTGCAACGACCCACCCTCCCCTGCCTAAGATGAGACCCCTACCCACAGACCCTTCCCTAGATTCATGGCCCAATCGACCCCCACAATGGGAACGCAGACAGGTACCAGCCCGGATGAAGCCCAGCCCGCAAGCATCATAAGATAGACAGGAGGGCTGCCCTTGGGAATTGTATATGCCTAACGCCCAACCCTTACTACTACCCAAGGGGGGTGTAGAGAGCGGAGCCAGACCGGGACCAAGATCGTACAATGCAAGTATGGACTCTCGCAGGTGTACCACAAGGCCGGGAAACAACCACAGTACCCAGACTGATGCATGCCCAATGGGACAATGCGTAGGGAGCCAAGGATCCGCAATGTGATAAAAGGACTGAAATGGACAATGCAAGATCAGCGTAGCATCAACAAGCAAGGTACATTCCGATATATACAAGATGGCACAAAGTGGCGCAGTGGAAGACTTAAAAAGAAGATCTGATCTGACCTGGACTGACCCGATATCCATCATACATCACACATGTGGGAGGGGAGGAGGGACCGCCATCACAGGAGAAAGGTCCCTCCTTCACACACATACATGGGGAGATACCACGGACGAGAGATGGGGGGAAGGGACGAGGCGAAGGAGAAGGAGGCGAGGGAGTAGACCAAGATCGCGATAGCGAAGTCCCAAAAATAGTCCCTTGCCGAGTGTCCAATCAATGTCTGTCCCAGAAATGTCGAATCAGATCCTGGGTAATGTGCCCAGCATAACCTCTGCCTGTATCACCTACCGATAACCTCTCTCACTCTCGTATGTGAAGAAGAAGACAAGGAGGAGGAGGAAGGAGGAAGAAGAAGGAGGGAGAGAGAGAGATGGAAGAGGAAGAAGAAGAAGATGACGTCCTCCTTGCTGTCTCACCTGCAGGTAGCTGTCACCGTACTGACTGTGGTCGTCGTCGTGTGCAGGTACCGCGTGGAGCCTGGCTATGGCGCCAGGTAAGCTCGCCGCTTGCACGTAAGGTGTCCGCCTCTCTCTACCTCCTACGCCTCTACTCCTTACTCCGTAGTGTGGCGCAGAATAACGCTGCCTCCAACCAGCAGCGTGTCGCTCCAGAAGTGAGCTACTCGAACTGTCCTTGCCCAGCCGCTGCCCAGCTATTTGTAGCGCGGGGCGGGCTGGGCCTACCTGATGCTGGCCTCAGAAAAATGGCCCAGCTGGTCTGGGTCCCTACCGGACGTCCAGACCATGCTGCTGATGCAGCCAGGCGCAGAAATGCGCCTGGCTTAAAAATGGCCCCGCACCTGTGCACCTAACCCAAGGCGTCGCCTTGGGACCGAAACGACGTCTGCACCTACCGGTCTGGCGCCAAAATGCGCCTGGCCTCGTTTTGGGCCTGCCTCCGGTGTACCCAGTCCCAAGGTCTGGCCTTGGGGCTGCAAGTCCGAAACGGCACCTGAACAGACAAAGCAAGATAGCACACACACACAAAAAGGTGAGTAAAACTAAACCTACCTAACTAGTGTGCTATTTAGGGCCTGGAGGGCCGCCGTCGGCCTCCAGGGCGCATGCTGTATGGTACGCGGCCTGGGTGCCCCTCAGCAACCGTCGGGCCCCTCAAATGGGGCCCGTGTGCAGGCGCAGCATGTAACACAGACATACCCATGACACACCCACAGAGCAGCGCATACGGACAAGGCGGAGCACAGACAGGCCCACAATCTGTACACAAATTCCTACCTAACCCAATCTAGACCTAAGACCTCTACCCAACCTACCTTCTCTACCCCGCCCATGGTGAGTTCACGAGACATGACCCAGAGATCATTGGAGCACAACACCTCCCCCGCCCTCGCTAACACTCGTCGGACCACCCCAAGGCCAATCACTCAAACAGCCCTCCCCCAAGGCCCTGCCATGAGCATACCACAACCATGGACTAAACCCCTTGGGCGATGCGCAGGCAGTGTCTGTAATAATTACCATGCATTAGCCCAAAGGGAGTGTGTGAATGGCTTGTGCGCTATGAAAGCGCTGCCAGTGTAAGTGCGCGAGGTGACGGAGATTTGAACCCGCAACCTCGGGCAAAAAAAAAACAAGTACCAAAAAGCAAAAAGAAAAAAGTGAGAAAAAAAGAACTGATGGTGAAGGATTGTTTCATCGGAGTTGCACCGACTCATCAGGAGCTGAAACCTAGACAATCTGCAGGATCCCCGTATGGAGGGTTCGGCTCATGCACCCCTTGACCCCTGTTGAAGGCAGACTGTCCCCAAGCGGAATACAGCAGCGGGAAGCAACTCAGTGAAGCAGCAGACAACGCTGCCAAGGCAACACGACTGCACAATGCCAAAAACAGCTGGAAGGAATGACAGGACAAGAGGACGAGCAGCACGGCAGCAGTACAGCAAAGCACAACTTGAAGGAAAAACTGACACAGCAACCACACAGCACAGCACACAAGGCACACGGATGTGCAGCAAGGCAGCAGCACAGTGAAGCACAGGGCAATACCAACACCGAGCCACACCACACCGAGAACACAGTGATCTGCCAAGAACAACATGCAAAACAAGCGGACGGCCAGCAAGGCAGCGGTGGGGTGCAGACAAGGAGTCTACACATCCAACACGGAGCAAAGCAGAACATCACTCACTCACATTACTAGCGAGCCCCGCAGACTGTTGGTTCCCAGCACCCGCTGAGCCAGGGAGTCACTCCGACGCACAGCTGTCATCACTTGTAGACCACATGCACCTCACAGTTGCCACGAACAGAGCGGCTTCCCTAAGAGTCCTGCAGGCACTCCAAACAATCGACCACCTACTGTTTAGCACTTCTTAAAGGGGCTCGCTCTACTGGAAAATTTTCCAGAAAGAGGAAAGACACAGAGAAAGCACTTACAAAAAATCATGAAGGGGAAATTCATACATAAAACTGATTGTGTGTGAGTGGATGTGTGTGTGCGTGAGAGAGAGAGCGAGAGAGAGATGCACACGAACAAGGGTGACAATGACGGCCAAGAACGGCTACAGGGATCAAATGGGTGTGATGACTTTCATCAGTTCTTTGTTGTTCTTTGACCCCCTTAGCTCAAATCCTGAAACACTGAAGGATTGATAGGCCATGCTCACATAGTCTGTACTCGTACTGGAAATCAAAATCGTATGAGGCTTCGCCTTTTCGCTCCTGGAGATTTTAGAAGTGAATCGTTATCAAACGCGCCCGCACCGACGATAAGTGCGAACGGAGCGCTGCGCTAATTTGCGCTAGCGTCCGGCCAGGCCCATCGGGCTCTCGCCCGAGGGAATCGGACCCCAGGCCCACCGGCTTGCCGGCCCCAGCCCCTCCCGCCATCGCGCCCAGCCAAGCTGCGCGCCAGCCGTTCAAACCGCGAAGCCGGGCAGCCAAGCCGCCATCGCCACGAGGGCGTGCAAATGCCCCGCCCTAGCCAGCCCAGATGCACCCCCTGCGCGCGCGACAACAGTGGAAGGTGAGATGCATCGGCGGAGTCGCGTGCTACTCATAGCAGCCACCCCCGCCCGGAGCTCGTCTTGACCGCAATCTCTTGAGGAACGAAGCACACTCCTAAGCAGGCCGCCGCCGCTGCTTGACAACAAGTGACGCACAGATGAGCTGTGAGCTGATCCATCGAAGGCATCAAGTCCTACTTTGGGCCCACGTTCAGCCTGCTTCAGCGAAGAAGACCAAGGCTCAATCTACTAGCCCTCCGTGAGAA